AATTATTTTAAAACTTAAATATTTTCTAAATTTCAGGTCAAAACAAACAAACGAAATGAGAATAAAATTCAAAATAAATATTTATATCGAGTAATAACCAAAATATAAAAAAAAAACATAGCAAGAGAAAAATGGAAGATAAATAGGATTGACACGTGAACGTGAACTTCTCATAACTGGAAGATAAATAGGATTGACATGTGAACGTAAACTTCTCATAACCATAATTAATTTTTAAATTGTTAAATCATGATATAAAACTGAGTTAATTTTTAATTTGTTAACTTTTAATTTTTTTAATTTTTTAAATCATTATGGCTATGTTAAATCATGACAATAACTAATTTTAAATTGTTTATTTGTATTCGAAAAACTTAAAATATTGCTTTTAAAAATAATTTTAAATTTAACATAATTTTTTAGAAAATTATTTTTTAAAAATATAATTTTTTAAAAATATAATTTTCAATATTATTAGACAAATAAATAAATTATATTAAATTAGTTTAGAAACTTTATATATTTTAATTGCAAATATTTTACCAATTGCTTCTTTAAAAACATTAGGGAACTGGCTATACTCCACCAATCAAGCCCAGTGACACTCCATTTATTTTCCATCACTCGAACACTGAAAGGTAAAAAGATATATGAAATCAGATCCATTAAATTCTAAGATTTGATTTACATTTCTAATTAAAATTGTTTTTGATCATACGTATAGATAATTATATAAAAATTCCAAAATTCTAAAAATTTCAAATACATACAAATACAATCATATGTAAATTTTAAATTGTGAATATTAAAATTTTATATTTTAATTACATTTATTCACCCTGCGCAAGGCGCAGGTCTTATCCTAGTTTCATAATGTTATGGAAAAAGTATAAGTTCTCAGTCCATGGTGCAAAATTGCAAATAGAGTTCCATTGTATAATCATCAAGGCTTTAGAGCCCCTGAGTATTTTTTTTTTTATCAAACAAACCCCTGAATATATTCGGGTTATTTTTTCCATCTCCCCCATATGAATGTTTTGCATTTGATGATTCATCACAAAACATAATAAATAAAGAAACAAACAAAACGAGATGTTTGCATCATCACATTTCAACACCTAAAACAAAATGTTTGTATACAAAATTATGTAGATCAACTAGATATCTCCTATTATGGCACTGAATTTGACTTAGTAATATTGTATAATGTCTCTATCGGTAATTTGGTAAATGTCTGCTTCTTCATTTTATTTTTAGTAATTTCTGCCTGTCTCTCCTCCATAATTCATGTTCTAGTAGTAAGAAGGTATCATAACTTTCACGATTTTATATTACAATTGGCGGGAAAGTAGAAGATGTCAACTTGCTTACGACAACGACTCCAAGCTCTAGGCAATTGACAATTAAAGAAACATCACTTATCAAGTCATACGGGTACATAAAAGACCATAGGCCATTGCCTATCAAATCACAGCTTCATATTTTTTCAAATTTTATTTCAATTTTCCCCATTTTTTGTCGTTCACTCGTTTGCAAATTGGTAGGAAGGTAGAATAAATGTTCTCCCTGTAAATATCTTTATCTACTTTTGTCTGCTTGCATCATCTATGCTACCAGAATTTTTAGCTTCGAAAAAGGACTCTTCTATAAAAATATCACAAATAACGACTCAGCATAAATTTACTTTTAAGAAATTCACCAAAAGCTAAATAAGTGGTTGTAAAAAACGATTAGAACATTATACTTTCACGGTTTGACCCGTTCAAACGCAGCGGTTGCGATTACAGGAATTTACAAATGTAAAAGTTTGCAGATGCGAATGATTGCGGTTTCTTAAGGTTATAAAAAAAATTTGTACGATTGGTACTGCACTTAGAAACTGATGCTTTTGCGGGATGTTTATTACTGGTTAACTACCGAATGCACTAGCGATTAAAATATAAATCAATAATATTTACATTTTGTATAATTATAAAAATACCAAAATCATAATACTATAATAATATAAAATCATACTTATAAAGTTATAGTTTTAAATTTTTAAAATATTGAAAATACTTTTATTTAAAGTTTTATAATATTAGTTAAAATATAATAGATATATTTTAGTATTTTTATAAGTCCAATTTTAAAATTTTATTGAATATTTTTATTTTTGTATTTATATTGTTTAAAAGAAAAGAAAAAAAATTCATCCTCCCGCAAATGCTAGTTGGAACTAGCTTTTGAATTTAAGAGGTTTAGAGCGGTTTAAAGCGATTTAAAACGATTTAAAACAGTTCAGCGCGATTTAAATAATTGTTGCAAAATGCCAATAACCAGTACCAATTGCAAAAACTGCGTTTACGGATGATAACGGAAAAACAGTTATGTCCTCAGTACTGTCCTAATCATTTATGTTTTTAAATTCAATAATTTTAATTCTTTATTAGTTTGTATACACTCATTTACTTTGTGGACTTTACCCCCCCCCCCCCCCTCCCCACCACTCCAAATAATCTCGCTATTTATAATCAGTTTGCTATCTGGATCCTTATAAAGTTGAGGATTTCTTGTCCTTAAAAATTGTTTTGTGTATAGTTTTTATACTCTCATTTACTTTGTGGACNCCCCCCCCCCCCCCCTCCCCACCACTCCAAATAATCTCGCTATTTATAATCAGTTTGCTATCTGGATCCTTATAAAGTTGAGGATTTCTTGTCCTTAAAAATTGTTTTGTGTATAGTTTTTATACTCTCATTTACTTTGTGGACTTTACCCCCAAAAAAGTTTCACTATTTATAATTAGTTTGCTATCTGGATCCTTATAAAGTTGAGGATAAGTTGGATAACTTCAAACCATATTTCTTGTCCTTCAAATATTCTTTTGTGTATGGTGCACTTAACATGATTTAGATTAACACATTGAACTTCAGAGAACTTGTAATCTTTCCATAAACCCATGAGCAGGAACAAAGATATCCATCCACATATAAAATTGAAGAAGATTATAACTGAAGATTACGTGCACTTTTATGCTCTAATAAACAAACATATACGCATATATCCATCTTTGTTAGATCACCCAAATTAATTATCAAGCTTCGATTAATTAATGGTTTGATCAGTTTCATAAGTTACATCAACCTAGTAGAATAACATTTGAATAGTAAAGTATTTTAATGGAAAACTTAAATTATCATATTATAATTTAACGTTTGCCGGCGATTTTTTATTATTATTGTAACTCGTTAAGTTTATCTTTGGCATTATTAACATGCTGTTAGTCAAACCTAAGTTTGTCAGCTCTAAAGACAAAACCCATGTACAGCGCATGTAGATTGGAACCAAAAAATATAATATAGTTCTTTACTAAAGCATGAACTATCATATAATGGGACAAATTTAAATATAACAAAAACAGTTCGGTGACAGCAAAAATCCTATTTCAAATTAATCAGCCAAGTATTGTACCTAACAACACGGTATGTATAAACCAATTTGGTTTCTTCGTCTTCCATACGTCTTTGTGCAATTTTACAAAATAATTGTTGTCGTGTTGTCCGGTTAGTCGTTTTATCCAATGATTCATAAATTTTACGCGTCACTCTATAATTAGTTCAAAAACTACGCACCCAACAATTATTCAATTATTATTGTACTTGATTTCTGGAAAACAGTTTTGTATATAAAATGAATTAATGATTGCTAAGTCTAGTTATGAGGTAGCAAAAGCAAACCATGATACCCGTGAAAACTTAAGAACTTATGAAAATCATAACCTAAAAGAAAAGATTGAAAACACACACATATTTTAGTAACATATAATCTTGTGAATATATTAAAGAGGATTAAAACTTTACAAAGCTAAACTTGCCAAACATAAAAAAGTCTATGTCATATCGTATGAGCTACAAATATATATTCTTAATAGTACATGCATTTTTGTTAATGTACACCAGTTCATTGGTCACTTAATTTTCAGAAGAGCTTGAGGAAAGATTTAGAAAATTCAAGATACTAATGATAATCTTGGGATTATATAATATAGAATATTCTTGCCACTAATGGTAATATATACTGTGAATGCATTATCATTTATATCACGGATCTTCTAGATCCAATACATACTCCTCATGTTGTTTTTGAATCACCCGGATCCTTTTCCAAAACATTTTAAGGTTTCTTATGAGGAAATAAAAAATCATTTACATAAATAACATTTGTATTTTTTTTTTACAAAAGATATTAACTTCAATTGCATAAAATTTCCAAGTTGCTTTTCTTTTGTTCGTTTCGAAATAATGTGGTCCACCACCTAACGACCAAAGCTTAATAGATTGATTAAATACGTCTAAACAATAAACAAAAATACTAAGATTGTCAATGACGTGAATCATGACCAGTTAATCAACAAGAAGACGGCCATGTTGAAAACTTTGTATTACAGCTATACATATATAACAAATACATTCACTATAGATTTCCGTAACCGTACCTATACGTGAACAAAGATATTATCTTTCTCTCTATATAGAGAGTACAAAGACGTGTTTTGTTTTCGCTCAAACCAACTCATCTTTTTCTTTATTTCTCTCCTTAGTCTTCGCTTCTTTCCAACAAAAAGACTCCATAGTTATCTCCACAATAAACAGAAAAGATCTAGAAATTTTAAAACTCAAGCAGCATTTCGTTTTTTCTCGTGTTCCCCCAGAGTTTCGTTTCAGGCATAATTTAGCAACCTCGACGTGACTACGCCTGCAGGGTTCCATAATCGCCAGGTTAGTGTGTTTATTTCATTCTTCTTTTCCTTTTTTTTAGAGGTTTTTGTTCCTTTTTACCGGAAATGCATAGACAATACGCGGTTCTACTATGCTTTAATCTCAACTTAGGATTCTGTATGCATGTTCAACAGAAAATTTATGATTCTGAATTAACTAAGAAAATATACTTAGGGTTCTGATTACGAACTGATAATTGGATTTGTTCTTTTCTTGTTTTTTTTTGGCTCCCTTTTCTCATCGTTCCTCTTTCATAAAACCCAAAATGCTTCCAGAAACAATAACTGAGACTTTTTTTTTTTTTTGGTCAAAAAACAATAACTGAGACTAAACCCCAATATGCCAATAGATAACTTTTAAGTTATAACGCATTAGCTGTAGCCAATGCGATGGAATCGGTTTACTAGTCTTTATTTGTGGGACGAAACCGGTTTTTCACAGCGATTGATTATAAATGTTGGTCGTTAGAGTTACAATAACCACAAATCTTGTTGGCCGGTCGGACCATAAATTTAAAATGGACCCGATGAGTTTGATGAACATAGCTTAGCTCACCACACAATTGACTAAAACTCTATCTGTATTCTTTATTATTCTGTTGTTTGCAGGAATTTTGTTTTGTTATTAGTTATCACTCATTTAGAGTTAATGAAAGAGCATCATTACAACTCAATCAACTCTGATTACTCAAACACGGAAATCACTCATGTTAATATCCTAGAATTGCTCCATTCTTTATATACATATATATATATATATCTTATATATTAAAACAGAAGTCATGACTTGACTTCATGTGTGATTTTTTTTAAAATGGACTATTACTAGAAAGTTATGTTACATTAACTCTCTAATAATCTTATCATTATTATATCTTATAAAAAATCATATCTATAATAACAAAGACACGCTTAACAATTTGATTTTGGTAAATTACCCCACACCTTCCAACTTAGTCACGCAAAATATGTCAATAGATATAAGTTTAGAAATCTTCTATTATTTATAAGGAAATATGTCAATAATAGTTAAATGCATCCACAATATATTAACAAAAATCACAGATTAGTAATATAGAATATTTATATACCCTAACAAAATTTACACGCTATATATATTAGATAAATTTATTTTGATGTAAATTTTTAAAATTATATTGTTTTAAGAAAATAAATTCTTTAAAAAATTCTTTTTTAATAAAATTCTTTATAATATTAATTTATGAAGCTAGAAGTTTAGTTTTTAGCAAAAATTTCTTCAAATTTTATATTATCTTTTCAAATTAAAGTATACTAATATTTAATCAAGCTCTATTTATATTACTTTATCTAAAAATGAAATCCTAATCTAACAAACAATAAAATATAGAAGAAGAAACAAACACATGTTTGAAAAACATGTATAATCTATAAAATTTGAAACAATCTATTTGACTAAAACACTTATTATATAATATTATTATGTTTGAAAAAAATTTACTATACATATCGTAAATATGTGATTACTATAATATATACCAACAAGGTGATTTTCCCGTGCTCATGCACGGGTATGAATATTTATAAAAGTAAATTTTTATAATAATTTATTGATATTTAGATTTAGTTTTGAATAAATTTATATGTATAATTTATATTAATAAATATTATATTATTCTACTTATACATATGACTTTGGATATATTATTGTCGGTTTAATAATTTTTTGGATCAATAGTTGGTTTGGTTATCAATTTGGTATATTGGATAATATCCATTTTTTGAATTTAGCTATAATATTTTTTATTCTAAATATAATAAAACCTTGATTAATTTTCATATTTTTCGGTTGGTTATTGTCTTAAATATGTAAATATACTATAGTTAAATTATGTATAACTTAATATATATTGTGTTTAAAATGAAATAAATAATAAGATGAAGTGTTTAATTCACAATTACATAAATGAATATAATGATAATATTTTGAAGTCTCATGAATATATATAAATTCTACAAAAGAATTGAATTGTAATTGGTTAATATTTTATTTTTCTTTTTAATATGATTTGATTCAACCTCTAATTTATATGTATAAAATTAAATAGATTATTATTATTATTGTTATTATTATAAAATTATATGCTCTTATTGTAGTTAGATATTTAATTTTGGAAATAAATTAAATTAGCCGAGTCATTCGTTTTGTGAGTATATTGAGTTAAATATATTTTTAAATTAAAATTTGAATTATAATTACTTTTCATTTTAATTAAGTCCAATCAAATTAGTTTTATTTATCGCTTAAATATACATGTATTTTCATAATATTTATCAAATTATATGTTGATTTCTAAAAAATATTAAAAAATAAAGTGTAACTAATAAATTTTTGAATGTTCATAAACATCTATATTTTATTATTTTGAAAATATATTTTATGTTATCTAAAAATATATATTAATGGGGATATTACTGTTTTGTGAACTTTCCTTTTTAATAAAGTCATATTATATACTTATATTTACGTTTTAAATTTGTTTTAAAATTTTAGAAATATTTCCTTTTTATTATTATATGTTATTTGGAAAAAGGTAAAAAAGAAATTAAATAAAAAATTAATAATAAACTTAAAATCTAACAATTCATTAAGGGTATCTATGTAATCAACCATCGTGAGAGTTAACGTGAGCGCGACACGTAGGAAACTGACTTCTCAAATAATATTATAGAGATTTACAAGTGAAAACAAAATGTTTATATAACTAACTATAAACGAAAACAAACACCCNAGGTAAAAAAGAAATTAAATAAAAAATTAATAATAAACTTAAAATCTAACAATTCATTAAGGGTATCTATGTAATCAACCATCGTGAGAGTTAACGTGAGCGCGACACGTAGGAAACTGACTTCTCAAATAATATTATAGAGATTTACAAGTGAAAACAAAATGTTTATATAACTAACTATAAACGAAAACAAACACCCGCGCGGTTGCGCGGGTCAAAATCTAGTATGTTACTTAAATTAGCACGTAAAACTTACAATTTATTGACGGTTTTGCTACCGTATAATGGCCCATTTTGATAGAAATTAGTTATCCTCCCAATATATCCATGTTTTGCTTAGATCATGATGTGACAAAAAACCACTTAATTAGAAATCGGTTTGCACTTCTACTATTAAAAGTTTTCTGAACTAAATTTTGAAAGTTTACCCAGTACAGATTTTATTAAATTGATGAAAACTTTGAAATAATAGAATATTTCTTCTCTTCTTTCGCACATTATACTTTATTTTCTTTTATGATTGTTGTTTGATTTGAGGAGGATTTTACAAGGCTTCCAACACGTTTATATTTATAGTTTTCAAGTGGAACAATATAGGATCAAACAAAAAGCATGGGTATTTTTTCTTCTAGCCCACGATATCAAATGAGGGTAAGTGTCGTCGAATTCCATTCAGCTGGAAACCAGCTTAGTGGGTAGACCACTAGCCTTTGAATATGATAATTTTAGGTGAATGTTTATAGGTGGAAAATTGAGGTAAAGAAAAAGAAGAAATGTTTATAGGTGGAGAACTTAGGTAAGATAGATTTAGTGGGTTATTTAGAGTTTTTTGTTTTGATAGCAAAAAAAAATTGATTCTATTTTAATCAGCTTGTGATTTGAAAAAGGTTAAATCCCAAATCCAATTTTTCGTTTTTTTAAAGATATGTTACAGAGAATAATACAGGAAAAACCGAGAAAAAGGTTAAAATGAACCAACTCGAGAGAAGTCCTCCTCCATTGACAATGGCCAATATTTTATTGAAAATATTCTCTAATATAGACAATTTCCCCTCGCATATGCTTCAAAATCATCTAAAACTTATAATGGAACTGATTTGACTTCAAAGGTTATACTAATCAATCATTTTGGCTAATGAATGAATCAATGATACAGGTCAAGTCAAAAGATCAGTTACTATCGTAGATTAAAAAAAATAACGAAATAATTGACGTTTTGGTTTCAGGGGAATATTTGTTAAAACATCATTAACAATGGAGGAGAGATCAAACTGTGCGCAAATTCAATTAGAAGAGGAGCTGCCAACTTTACTGAGAACAGCCACAACAGAAGAAATGGTTGGCTTTGACAATTACAAAGATAATAATCTTCCTCACTTCATCAGTCGCTTTCATCCTTATCATGCATCCACGACTACTTCGGTATGTTATTTATTTTATTCTTATTGCATTCCACATTCGAAAACATTAGGTTCAACGTTATTATATAACTAAGTCGACCTAATCTTTTTGCATATATATGTGGATAGAATGGTCAAGAAGCATCAAGATCATCAATAGAAGCTCACCGTAGCTACATTGCAGATCTCAAAGACACTGCGCCTTGGATGATGAATCATCAAAGGAAACCATCACTTTCAATGCCAACTTCACCAAATATTCTCATGGTCTCTGATCCGACATCAGCGTCTTCCGACAACAACACTGCATCGACTGGAAAATCAGTCAAGTTCATCTCTCAGCCGATGGCCAAAGTCTCATCTCTCTACATAGGAAGCGGCAATGATGATGATGATCTTCATCGTCATGACAATCATCATCATCAGCAACGTCAACAAAGTGGTCAACTTCAAAATCAAAACCCGGCCATGCATAAGCTTAAGGATCACAGGTACACCTCGTTCAAGACTTGGTCAGGGAAACTAGAGAGACAGTTTACAAGAAAACCAGCTGCTATTGAACCGGAGACACCAAACCGGAATAAGGAGAATGTTAATACTAATGAAGCCATGCCTGTGGACCGTTACTATGATGCCTTGGAAGGTCCTGAATTAGAGACTCTCCGGGTACGTACCAACACTTGTTTTCACTAGACTAGTGCCGGTTTGCCATTTTAAAAAAAAAATCATAATGCCATAGGCTCAAGTAAAAATTGATGCTCTTATTCTTTTTTTTTTGTCTGGTTAATTATGCTATTACAAATTATGAGAAACATTACATAGACGATATTACAACCGACAATTCTACCTGTTTTATGCGGATTCACGTCTGACTGCAATTGATGCTCTTATTCTTCATATAAATTTTTCAAATAAAAATTCATAATGCCACATTATGACATATATTCTAATTACTTTTACTTTTTTGGATGTTGCAGCCTCTAGAAGAGATCGTTCTACCAAGTGAACAAACGTGGCCGTTTCTTCTGCGTTACCCCATATCAACCTTCGGTATGTGCCTAGGAGTAAGCAGCCAAGCCATAATGTGGAAAACCCTAGCCACTGCGGTGCCAACCAAGTTCCTCCACGTACCCTTATGGATCAACCAAGCTCTTTGGTTCATCTCAGTCGCTTTAATCTTCACCATTGCCATCATTTACCTCCTCAAAATCATCCTCTACTTCGAAGCCGTACGCCGCGAATACTACCATCCCATCAGAATCAACTTCTTCTTCGCTCCTTTCATTTCACTACTCTTCTTAGCCCTCGGGGTCCCACCTTCCATAATGACAGAACTGCCTCAGTTCCTGTGGTACCTCCTCATGTTTCCTTTCATCTGTCTTGAGCTCAAGATTTACGGTCAATGGATGTCCGGAGGTCAACGCAGGCTCTCCCGGGTCGCCAACCCAACGAACCATCTCTCAATCGTTGGAAACTTTGTGGGAGCGTTGCTTGGTGCAAGCATGGGACTTAGGGAAGGACCAATATTTTTCTATGCTGTTGGGATGGCTCATTACTTGGTTCTGTTCGTGACACTCTATCAAAGACTACCGACCAATGAAACTTTGCCTAAAGATCTTCACCCTGTCTTCTTCCTTTTTGTTGCGGCCCCAAGTGTTGCTTCCATGGCTTGGGCTAAGATCACTGGCTCCTTTGACTATGGCTCCAAAGTTTGTTACTTCATCGCCATCTTCCTTTACTTCTCTTTGGTACGTTACACATATAGCTTTGGCTCATACGTATTTGCTTATTCAGAAAAGTATTTACTAATACAATTTTTTTGTAAAATTTTTATAGGCTGTGCGGATTAATTTCTTTCGTGGAATCAAGTAAGTTTCCTAAATTTTAATTATTATTTTTTGTTTATCAGTTAGTTAACTGTCTGACTATTTTTTATTGTTTATATAGATTTTCGCTGTCGTGGTGGGCGTATACATTTCCAATGACCGGAGCTGCAATTGCAACCATCAGGTACGCAACAGTAGTGGGGAGCACTATGACTCAAGTCATGTGTGTGGTCCTCTGTGCCATAGCGACACTAGTCGTTTCGGCACTGCTAGTGACTACCATCATCCATGCCTTTGTCCTGCGCGATCTTTTTCCTAATGACTACGCCATAGCCATCAGCACCCGCCCGAGACGCAAACAGACTAGTCACCACCGGTGGCTCGACCAACTAAGAAACGTAAGCTCAGAGAACATCGAGAATTACTTGAAATTCACAGACTCTGACAGCAATCAGAGTAATGATCTAGAAGCTGCCAATGGAAAAATTCAAGAGAATGATTCGGCTTAATTAAAAATAAACCACAAACAGTTTTCATAACCCCTGGCATAATCGAGTCGTGGTATCCAAGTTTTGCGTTCTGAGTTGTTGTCAGTGTCTCTGACACAAGTGAGGAAACCTAGTAACGTAACTGTTCGTTGCTATGGTTCTAATGAGCAGTAAACCAGTGAAAGCTGTTATCAGAATACTGTATGTAAGACTTTTTTGAGGGTTATCACTTTATAATTGTATTTGTATCAATAGCATCAGTTTTGCACAAGCATTTGCCCACCTAAGTAGTGGGCCGAACTTTTTTTGGGCCAATAAGATACTAAAAAAACCATTAACCTAATGCCTAGCGAATTTAAGGATATCACTTTACGATAAGGTATTGTCGTATGAGGAAATCTATTAAATTTTAGTGCTTATACAACTTCTTATGGGCTTTTAATCTCTAATTAGGCTTCGCGTTAACGAGGGCTCAATTAGTTGAAGCTTTACCTTTAACTTTAAGTTTATACTTAGGGTTGGGTCTGAATTAGTCATACGTTTAGGATTTTAGGGTTAGGGTTTGATAAAAAAAGGGTCCATTTCTTTTTACATCGATTTTGCAGTGTTAGATAGGGTTTGTATTTATCTTATATCTACTAGTATGAGTTCCTCCTTTGCAGACCTGCCTTCTCTCAGCAAGTAAGCCGACAGGAGAAGAGACTTTCAAACCCTAAAAAAACTCTTTAAACCTTAGATCCTTGCCACTGCCATTATCGATTATCAATCTATTCGTATCTGACATTTTGGTTTGTTTTACTTCTTTAAATAACAAAACAAAGTTAGGCCAAACTAACAAAAAACGTGGATTTACTCAAAGTGTATGAGACAGCTAATAAAAAGCATAAAAGGAGACATTAATTAAAGTTTTGTCACCACTAAGCAAAATATTATATTCAAGTTTTGGGCAATAATGAAAGCTTGTTCATGGTCACGTGAATCATGAATCATGATAGTAACACATGAACATATATATATAGAGGTAGTTTTGTAATGACATCACGATTGATATATTCTAGAATCTAGACGATGCGTGAAGTAACTAGTTACAAATAAAGAAGAAATATGAAAATTTTATATTGCCATGAAATACGCAAATCATCCGACAATAAAAAAGTCACGGCAGAGTTTTCTCATAATAACGCACTAAACACTTAACAAACTCACTTTCTATTATTCTTTAAACTAGTAGAATCTTCTAACTCTTTTTTTTTTAACACTGAATTATCATTCAAAGGAATGGAAGTAACAAATTCTCAGAGGACAAAGATCCTCCAAGAACCTACAGTCCGAAAACATTAAACATCTAATTCTCAGACAAAATTTAGAAAAGCAAACAATAAAAGGGAATACTAGGAAATAGACCACCAGTATGTGGCAATACAGTGAATCTCCCCACACCAACAAGAATCTTCGAACTCTTAGTAGAGTAACTTGATGTTTCCTACCAGTCTCTTGGAAACCTTATGTATATATATATATATATATACATATACATATATTTTGCCAAATACCTTCATATATATTTTCAGACCCGGTCATCAGGGCCGGTCCTGGGCCAAGCCGGGGGAAACATTCGCCTTGGGCCCCCAAATTTTTTGAAAAAAATTACATATACATAGGCCCCAAAAAAAAAATTTTAGGCCCCCAAATATGTAAAAAAAAAAAATTTTTTAGGTGAAACCGTTTAAAAATCGCCTTAGGCCTCTTATTTCTCAGGGCCGGCCCTGCCGGTCATAGACTCATATGCTATGACCATAAAGATGTTCTTCAGCCAATGGAAAATATCCCCGAGTCTCTTTCTTCAGCAATCCCTTAATTTGACAATGCAAAACTCCATTACACACGTCATCGATTTAAATCTTGTGAGAGATTAAGATAATAAATAGATACACATGTAGTCGTATTTAATTAGTTACAGTTACTAAAAATGAGAGAATGTCTAAAAGAAGAAACATAAACTAGTATTACTTTAATGACATTATGAGAGGGTGCTTTTTGTTGTAAAGAACACTATAAAAAGAAAACAAAAAATAATGAGGACAATGTAAACTGATTTTTTAGATATAGGGAAACAGAAACCCTGGGACCTTCTTTACATGATGAGAAGAGGGTTGAGATATATTCTGAAGCCATCATGAGTAATAAAATTTGGTCATTTGACAATTAAGGGTGCTCAGTATTTATCTCAATTGTAATTTTGTTTTATGTTGGGAACTCAAAATTGTTTTATGTTGGGAACTCAAAATTTTCCACAATAAGTGAGATTTCTCAAGCGGAACACTTGTCATATCCTACAGATACAACAACTTGTAATCTCTACATATATTCCCTTGTTTATTATTTTTTTATATTTTTGTATAAAGTATCAATAAAAAAACATTGTAAGGAGGAACATAATAATGGTTTTTCTTTTCTTTCCTAAACAAACCAAAATCTCCATTTTTATTTCAAAGTTTCTAAATAATTTTTCAAATAAAATACTTCTTCAATGTCAGAGGAAAAACGAGAGGTCGGTCTCACCAACACTATGTAAACCTTCTCTACCACTTCGGCCGCCTTGAAACACGACTGTTAAAGGGGTAATGCCTTGTGATTGAAGTCTTCTGGATTCGGTTTTGCGAATTGATTTAGAAGGTGAAGACCGGTTTAGTTGCTTGATTTAAACCGGGAGCCCAAACCAAGTGAAGACCTTCTAGTCGCGATAGAGGGTTTGACTATTACTTAAACGGCTCTTTAGTCAGTTATTTGACTTATCCTTCTTGTAACAGNTCGCCATTGTAGCTCGTTGAGAGCTTGTATTCTTCTTCTGAGTGTATTGCCGGATTGATCTGGCTCCAGTGAGTAACTCCTCACATCGAGGACGAACACTGGGTAAACAAATCTTGTGTCTCTGTTTTACTTTCTGTTGCAAACGAGAGTTAAAGATCGAGAGAGGTGCGAGTTTGATTGATCATAAGAAGTGTTGATTTGTAACAAAGTGGTATCAGAGCGGGGTTGAAGATGATCAATCTTATGAAGAATCCGATTATCGGGATCTTTGATGGTACTGGTGATTTCTCGTTATGGAAGATAAGGATGATGGCGCATCTTGGTTATCTTGGCTTGCGAGATGCTCTTACGGATTCAAAGATGGAGATGCAGGTTCCGTTGTCAAAGAGCGAAGAGAAGCAGCCGGTTCAAGACGATGATGAAGAAAAAACAACATCGGAACCTTTGGTGAAGAATGTTCCTGATCCGTCTAAGATCGAAAGATCTGAAAAGGCTAAGAATCTGATGATAATGAATCTTGGTGATAAGGTTCTTCGAAAAATAAATGTTGATGCGTCTGCTGCTGAGATTTGGGCTTTGTTAAACCATCTATACATGGAAAGTTCATTACCTAATCGAATTCATCAGCAACTGAAGTTTTACACCTTCAAGATGGTTGAGTCTAAAAGTATAGATCAAAATGTGGATGATTTCTTGAAGATTGTTGCAGAGTTGGGAAGTTTGCAGGTGGATGTTTCTGATGAAGTTCAAGCAATTTTACTGCTTACTTCATTGCCAGCTAACTTTGATCAACTAAAGCATACGTTGAAGTACGGAAGAGAGTCTTTGACGTTGGAAGAGGTTATCTCAGCAGCTAAGTCTAGAGAACGTGAGGTCTCTGAAGGGAAGTCTGATCGTGGTGATTCTGGAGCTGCATTATACACAAATGAAAGAGGAAGGTCACATTCTAGAGGTCAAAAAGACTTTAAGAATGTAAAGGGCAGAGGGAGGTCTAATTCAAAATCTCGGGTAACTTGCTGGTTTTGTAAAAAGGAAGGACACATCAAGAAGGATTGTTATGCTAGGAAGAGGAGTATGGATAGTGATGGTCAGGGAGAAGCTGGTGTTATTACAGAGAAGTTTGTCTTCACAGAAGCTTTGAACGTGGATCATCAGGAAGTTAAGAGTCAGTGGGTTATTGATTCAGGATGTACGTTTCACATGACTTCACACAAGGAATGGTTGTTTGACTTTTGCGAGAAGGATCCTATGGTAATTCTGCTTGGAGATGATCATACTGTGGAGTCAAAAGGATATGGCACTGTCAGAATTAACACAAATGGAGGTACTATTAAGGTACTAAAGAATGTCAGATATGTTCCGCATCTCAGGAGAAACTTGATTTCAACTGGAACTCTGGATAAGCTAGGGTATTCTCATCGAGGTGGAGATGGTACAGTGAGTTTCTTTAAAAATGAGAAGTTGGCATTGCGTGGGATTCTGAAGAATGGGTTGTATCTGCTTGATGGAGGAACTGAGATCAGTGAAAGCTACAATGTGGAGAGTCAGTTGAGTAAAACAGCTTTATGGCACAGTAGGCTTGGTCACATGAACTTAAATAGCCTGAAGACTTTGGTTGGAAAAGGTCTCATTGATAAGAAGGAGATCTCAGACTTGAGTTTCTGCGAACATTGTGTACTTGGAAAGTCCAAGAAGTTAAGCTTCAATGTAGGTAAGCATAATACAGAAGATGTTCTAGGCTATGTTCATGCAGACTTGTGGGGTTCTCCGAATGTGACACCATCATTATCAGGAAAACAATACTTCTTGTCAATCATTGATGACAAATCCAGAAAGGTGTGGCTTATGTTTCTAAAGACTAAAGATGAAACATTTGAGAGGTTCTGTGAGTGGAAAGAGCTTGTGGAGAAACAAGTGAATAAGAAGGTTAAAGTGTTAAGGACTGATAATGGCCTGGAGTTCTGTAACAGGAAGTTTGATGAGTATTGCAGGAAGCAGGGTATTGAAAGGCATCGAACTTGTACGTACACACCTCAGCAGAATGGGGTTGCTGAGAGAATGAACAGAACAGTTATGGAGAAGGTAAGGTGTATGCTCAGTGAGTCTGGTTTGAATGAAGAATTTTGGGCTGAGGCTGCAACAACTGCAGCATATGTGGTCAATCGTTCTCCATGTTCAGCTATTGATCATAATGTGCCAGAAGAAATATGGCTAGGAAGGAAACCAGGGTATCAGCACATGAAGCGGTTTGGTTCACTGGCGTTTGTACATCAGGATCAAGGGAAGTTAAAGCCACGTGCATTGAAAGGTGTGTTTCTTGGGTATCCTCAAGGTACAAAAGGGTATAAGGTGTGGTTACTTGATACTGAGGCTTGTATCATTAGCCGTAATGTGGTATTTCAGGAGCAGAAGGTGTTCAAAGATGTGGACAGTCCAGTGACTAAAGTACAGGAGATTGAATCAGGTGAAGGAATAGGAATTCAAACTGTATTACCTGAGGAAGAATTGAGTAAATCTGTTGTAGATGAAAGTACTGGAAAAGGTGGAGATTCTAAGTCTGGTACTTTCTCTGATGAGTGTCCTGAAACGTCTGAGACTGAGTTGAAGACAACTGAAGATGTAATTGATCTAGCTAATTATCAGTTAGCTAAAGATCGTGGAAGAAGAGAACCTGTTCCACCAGCGTGGATGGCTGATTACTCAAACATTGCTTGTGCTCTAATAGCTGCAGAAGAGACAGAGAGTGATGAGCCTGGATGCTATCATGATGCGTTAAAGGACAAAGATTGGGTTTTATGGAAGGACTCTATGTCTGATGAGTACGAGTCATTAAAGAAGAATGAAACATGGAGCATTGTTGACAGGCCTAAGGATAAAACAGTGATATCGTGTAGGTGGTTGTACAAGATAAAGCCAGGGATTCCAGGAGTTGAAGCTAAACGGTATAAATCAAGACTTGTGGCAAGAGGCTTTACTCAGAGAGAAGGAATTGATTATGAAGAAGTGTTTGCACCAGTGGTGAAACACATTTCAATTCGAGTTCTAATGTCTGTTGTGGTGAATTTTAACTTGGAGTTAGAACAAATGGATGTTAAGACGGCATTTTTGCATGGAAACCTTGAGCAAGAGCTGTATATGGAACAACCAGAAGGATTTGAAGTTAAGTCTGGTAGAGATCAAGTGTGTCTGCTTAAGAAGTCTTTGTACGGTCTGAAACAGGCTCCAAGACAGTGGAATAAAAGATTCAATACGTTTCTAGTGTCTCAGGGGTTTGTGAGAAGTGATTCAGACTTGTGTGTGTATGTAAAGGAAGTTGGTCCAGAGGATTATGTGTATCTTTTGTTATACGTGGATGACATGTTGCTAGCTGCTAAACAGGGATCTGAGATTCAGAAGCTGAAGGATGTGTTGAGCAGTGAGTTTGAGATGAAAGATATGGGGCCTGCAAGTAGAATTCTTGGTATTGATATTAAGCGAGACAGAGATCAAGGAAGTTTGAAGTTGTGTCAAACTCGTTATGTTCACAAGGTATTGCAGAGGTTTAAGATGATGGATGCAAAGGCAGTTGCAACACCAATGGGGTCTCATTTCAAGCTTGCATCAGTTAAACATGCTGATGAGTGTATTGATACAGAGAAGATTCCGTACTCCAGTGCTGTTGGGAGTGTGATGTATGCAATGGTTGGTACTCGTCCAGATGTGGCATATGCTCTTGGTGTTGTGAGTAGATTCATGAGTAAACCTGGGAGTATTCATTGGGAAGCGTTGAAGTGGTTGCTACGGTATTTGAAAGGATCTGCTGATTTGAGTTTGACTTATACTACAGGTGATAGTAATCTCAGAGTGCAGGGATATTGTGATTCTGATTTTGCTGGTGATCTTGACAAGCAGAGGTCTACAGGAGGATATGTTTTCACAGTTGGTGGGAACACGGTGAGTTGGAGATCAGGTATTCAACCGGTTGTAGCTCTCTCAACGACTGAGGCCGAGTATATTGCTCTGTCAGAAGCTATCAAGGAAGCAATATGGATAAAAGGGTTGCTTTGTGAAATGGGTTTTGTGCAGGAGAAAGTGTCAGTGTGGTGTGACTCGCAATCTGCAGTGAGTTTGTCAAAGAATAAGGTGTTTCATGAACGCACAAAACATATGGCTGTGAAGTATGGGTTTGTGAGAGACATTGTTGAGGGAGGCGAAGTTGAGGTCTTGAAGATTCACACGTCTCGAAATCCTGCAGACATGTTGACTAAGTGCATTCCTGTGCACAAGTTTGAGGCAGCTTTAGAGCTGCTCAGACTGACCTATTGATTGTTGAAAGGTCAATAGTGCCAGAGGTTAAATCCAAGTTTTGGTAGTACACGAAGAAGAAGGAGTTCAGAAGTTGTAGAAGACTTAAATCAAGGTGGAGTGTTAAAGGGGTAATGCCTTGTGATTGAAGTCTTCTGGATTCGGTTTTGCGAATTGATTTAGAAGGTGAAGACCGGTTTAGTTGCTTGATTTAAACCGGGAGCCCAAACCAAGTGAAGACCTTCTAGTCGCGATAGAGGGTTTGACTATTACTTAAACGGCTCTTTAGTCAGTTATTTGACTTATCCTTCTTGTAACAG